AATAAATCGGTGTCCAATAATTTTGTGTCCAATAATTTGGTGTCGAATCGATCGGTGTCGAATCGTACTGTGGTCAAACGGAACACGCCCGTTGCTGTCGCCTACCGAAGCGAGAGCATGTCGACACCGAGCGAAACAAACCCGTAACTCTCTTTAAGGCAAATCCGCACAGGCACTGTGCCATAAGCGTTCGAAAATGTCCCTAGAGGCCGAGCCTAGGGAAATAATCGTTGAGATCCCGCTTCCCGCGCGTGTCGTATGTCATCGCTGCCACGGCAGCGACCAATTGAGCCCCACCATACGCGCGGGAACTTTCGCGGACCCGCCTCACCTCTTCAAACACTTGAAAAAGGACCACCCGGGAGATAGTATTGGTTATAAATGTAGATTTGGCGGGTACAAGGGGAAAACAAGGTACCCGCAGAAAGACGTTAAAATACACATAGAAAAATTTCACCCCCAACTCCCGGTTGATGCGAAGGCGGGTCCAAGCAGGATAGATAGCGTCACTGGAGCCGCGCCATCTTCCGCGTCGTCACCGGCCCCGACCAGAAACAAAAATCCCCCCGCAAAAAATCCCTCCATTACCCCGCGGCACCACGGCGCACGTTCCACCGCCACCGCTGCCAAGAGGGTCCGCCCAGCTTTAAGGACACCACACAGCGGGCCCTCTCCAACGTCAACGCCGCCAACGACATCATCAGCAGCAGGACCATCTCCCACTTACGCAGCCGTCACTGCAGGACAAGCGGCCATTTCCACCATGAGGCCGCCGAGAGCGGCGGCTGCGGGGACGGTGCCCCAGCCGGGACTATCAAAGGGGGCCGTCCCAAAGAGAGCGTCGACAAGGAGAACAGCTGCCGCAAGGAGAAACATGGTCGCGGAATTATCTACCCCCTCCAGTGGAGGTAGCAGCATTTGCATCAGGAGAGCCGGCACTTCGTCGCTCGCGCGCCGCCCTTCCCCCCCCCCATCACCGTCATCTGCTGGCAGTTACACCGCCAGAGAGGGAGGTATCTCAAGAACTTCAATATCGCCCGCCACCACACCATCACCCCAGGAGTCCAGCGGAACGCGGCGGGCGCACGGCGCGCTCAGCAGGACATCCGGAGCTGCCAAACCGGTGCTTGCGCACCCCCGTTCCCCGAAGGAGGGGACTGCGAGGAAGTCAGCGGAGGGCGTCAAAAGAAGAAGGCCGTCTGCAACACATTTACCCCCGCAGACTACCAGCGAGAGGTCATCGATGGAGAGGCGGACGGTCCTGAACGCCCCGGTCGAGAAGAGCTCCGAGGCGACGAGGCGAAAATTCCCTCTGTCTCTGAGGCGAGTGAGGCCCGGAGACGGAGACAGGGGGTCGTTGTCACAGGGGCTGCAGAGCATCAGGGTTTCACCCGCGAAGAGCTCTGCAGGTATGCCGGTCAGTACATCGTCCGGCAGTCCCGCGGCGTCGAGACCGGCAGCAGCGGCGTTGCCACGTTTGGGGAAAGCCAGCAGGGGGGTGAGTCTACCTCTACTCAGTATACCATCACCTACCTTGGTACCAGCAGCGGGGGCACCGAGGATCATCTCAGATCCGAGTGACGGTGCCTCCCGCATTGCTTCAGCAGTACGTGCCAACGACGTCGCTGCCCGCGACCGTCACTACCACCACGGTGACCACCACGACGTGTGGGAGCTTTATTATGGCAACGGGTCTCCCACTGGGGGGGCGCAGGACACCAAGCCCCCTCCTGCCAGCGAGACGTCAGTTACCGTTGGTGGTGCAACGCACCGTCTGGTCGCACGCACCCTGCAGCAAGGGATTCTCCCTGGTAATGGGAGAGGGTGCGTGGAGCCAGACAAGGAGAAAGAAGACTCCACCCCATGAACACCTCGGGGTGGAGCAGCAGCAGCGGCAGCAGCAGCAGCAACAACAGCAGAGGAGGTCGACGCCACCAGCGATGGAAAGTGGGGACGCAGAGGTCCAATGCGGTGGTGGGTGGACCGTGAGCCGCGGGAGAAGCGCGGGGAGAAGAAACTCTGCCACACCCCCATCGAACAATTCCCCTGTTATCGCCCTGGCGGAGTCTGGGTCGCGGGCAATGAGTATCCCGCCACCAGTAACGTCGGCGAACTATCCCCCCTTCCGTTGACCGGGGGAGATCGAGACAATTGTCCCCCATTAGTGGAGGCTCGGAGCGAGCCAGCCGGGAGCCTCGAGCGCCGGGACGCTGAGCAATGTCACCGTGCCCGCCGCTGGGGGCGTTCTCCCGTAAATAGAAATCCCACGACCCAAGGGCGTGTCGAGCGGGAAACAACGAGATCGCCTCGCAGCGGTGCGTCCGCCGAAGCGCAGAGCCCGCGGCGTCCCGTCAACAATNCGCCCCNNCAGCCGTCTCCGCNGCNACCCGCGCCGCGTCCCGTTCCTGCCGAGAGGCGGGGCGGGCGCGCGCGGCTAGCCGAAAGAGACGCGCTGGTTGGGCGTGCGGCGGGCGTCGTTACAGTTGCGGACCTGGAGGACTTCGCGTCGCAAGTCGCGAATTACTTCGGGAAGGATGCAACGGACGCTGAGCATCGACGCGGCGTACCCGCAAATCGTCCAGTACGTGCGGGGTCGGAGCGACTGCGTCGAGGAGCTGGACTTGCGCCTGGTGAGCGAGACGGCGCCAATAAGGAGGGCAATTGCCAAGGGACTTCGGGAGAAGGACGCGCGTACTGGGTGCGCGAAGCGGCGCGTATACATGCGCTATACAAGGGCAACCGTCGCAAGGCTGTTTGGGAAGTATTTCATGGGCCCCTTGAATTCTGCAAAGTGCAGAAGGAGCGGGTCCATGAGTACTTCACTGAATTATACCGCGGCGGCTTGCTGCTGGATGGCGCCGACGAGTGGCATTCATTTTGACACCGTTCAATTGGACACGTTGCAATTAGACACGTTGCAAATAGACACAGAATTTTAGACACNGTTCAATTAGACACGGTGCATTTGGACACGCAAGAAAATGCGCACCGTTCATTTAGACACCGTTCAAATGCGCACTGTTCATTTGTACACAGAAATATGCGCACCGTTCAATTAGACACCGTTCATTTAGACACCGTTTATTTGGACACAAACAGACTTCTTAATACAGATATTTAAGAAGTAAAAATTGTGTTTGCAATACATTTTATTGTACATGTGTGGGCGGGAGAGGGGCGGAGCCCCTCCCCCTGCACCCCCTCCCCGAAAAAAATTTAACCTAACCTAACCTAACCTTTGTTACTACTATCATATATTTTCACTTTTCATTGTCTACTTGTGTTCAAATAAACAGTGTCTAAATAAACGGTGTCTAAGTGAACGGTGTGCATTATTACGGTGCGCATTATTACGGTGTGCATTATTACGGTGCGCATTATTACGGTGTGCATTATTACGTTGCGCATTATTACGGTACGCATTATTACGGTGTCTAATTGAACGGTGCGCATCTTTCTGTGTACAAACGAACGGTGCGCAAGTGAACGGTGTCTAATTGAACGGTGCGCATATTTCTGTGTACAAATGAACAGTGCGCATTTGAACGGTGTCTAGATGAACGGTGCGCATTTTCTTGCGTGTCCAAATGCACCGTGTCTAATTGAACCGTGTCTAAAATTCTGTGTCTATTTGCAACGTGTCTAATTGCAACGTGTCCAATTGAACGGTGTCTAAGTGCACCGTTCCCGGCGCCGACGCTGTGGAACCAACCCAGTTTCTGACGGATAGTGAGTTGGCGTTTCTCACGGATCCCTTTACGGAGCGACAGGTTAAACGTCGCATCCGGCGTGTGAGTAATTCCGCGCCGGGGCCCGACGGGCTGACCTACAAGGACCTCCGTGAAGCGGATCCTGGGTCACGTCTTCTCACGGCGCTCTTGAACATCTGTCTACGCCTGGAAGTTGTTCCCGCGTCCTGGAAGAATTCCAATACCGTGCTGGTATATAAGAAAAGCGACCGGAATGATCTGGAAAATTGACGCTCTCTTGCTATGGGCGATACGACGCCCAAGCTCTTTGCCGCGGTCGTAGCCGATCGTCTGACGGACTGGGCGATATTTCATAAAAAGCGTAGCCCGGTTCAGAAGGGTTTCCTGCAGGACAAAGGGTGTTACGAGCACAAGTTTGTCCTGCAGAAAATCCTGACAGACGCAAGACGATTTCACAAAAAATTGGTCGTGGCGTGGCTGGATCTATCCAACGCGTTTGGATCGGTCCCACACGCGACGATCAGGGGGGCATTAACTCGGTCCGGTGTGCCGGCGTCCCTCACAAACCTGTGGGGGTCCATGTACGCAGGATGCACAACATGTGTGCGCACGTCCGACGGGTGGACGGCACCAATCCCCATCCGCTCTGGAGTCAAACTGGGATGCCCATTAAGCCTCATCGTATTTGATTTCGCGATTGATCCCGTGTCGCGTGCGGCCACCGCAGAAAACACGGGGTATTCCATCTTGGGGCAGCGGTGGTCCGCACTAGCGTACGCGGATGATATCGCACTAGTAGCGGAAACGTCAGAGGGGATGCGACAACTTCTCACCGTCGTGGAAACCGAGTCGCGGTCAGTAGGCCTGCGATTCGACTCCGCAAAGTGTGCAAGTTTGCATATCCGAGCGGGGCGATTAGATCGCGTCTTCCCGACCCCCTTTGAGATCCAGGGAAAGATGATGCAATGCCTGGCAGAAGGAGAAGCGTATAGGCACCTCGGCATTCCGACAGAGTTTTCCGTCGATCAGAACCCCTATTCCACGATCCAGGGCATGATGGAGGACTTTCAGCGCGTCGAGCGCTCGCTGCTAGCCTCGTGGCAGCGAGTCGAGATGGTGGCTAGTTTCATCCTGCCACGTCTCGACTTCTTGTTGCGGGGTGCCAAAGTGGAGAAGGGGTGATACTCTATTGACCACAGTACGATTCGACACCGCTCGATTCGACACAGATTTATTCGACACCAAATTATTCGACACCGTACG